TCGAGGTGTCGCTCAGATCGAAGGAGGGTGGCGGTCGGGGCTCGCGGGCCGGCTAGCCAGTGGGCCTATGGCAGTGTCATTCGGCCGCCACATGGTGCTGGCGTGCTGCCGCTGCTTGTGGACTTTTTCCCTGACGATAGCGAGCCCCGGGGGATGGTCTGGCAACGCCCGCGTTGTCAATGCCCACGTGGTCCGATGGCTTAGCAAGGCACATCACCGGGGGTGGGGAGGAGGTGCTCAGGGCACATTGAGCGGCCGCCATCGGTCCCGACCCAGTGCCCAACCTTCCTTCGGGGATGTGCCTTGGACGCTGAGTATGATGGTTATGCTGGTTATGGGCAGCGTCCGAGGCAGGCTCTCTCTCGGTCGCGCCTCTCGCCCCGAGGGGTCCCGGTGGGGCACTGGAGGGGTGGCCGGGCATTGCTAAAAAGAGGGCCGGATGAGCCTGCAGTGCGGATGCGTGTCGGCACAGTGACGAGGTGTGCTCGGGGCCGGATCCGGCAGCTGGCGTGCATCTGCGCGCCGGGAGTCGGAGACTCTGCTGCGCAGGTTCTAGTGGTGATTGTGCATGGGTGCGTGTTTACGTCCGAGCGCCAAGTGTGTGGCCTGCTGGGGGTGCGTTGGTACAGAGGGATTCCTCGAGAGGCATGCCGTGCTGTTTGAGATGCATGTGCGTGCCGGCATGTCACCAAGCAGGCGTGGCTGCACATAAGGGTCCGGATGTGAGCGAGTGACTCCTCCTCCACGGGGCAATGCACGCCGCCGGGTGACACATGCCAAAAGGTCGCCATGCGCCGGGCAGGTCTCCGGAGATGGAATGTCGCCCTGCGGACCGGGGCTCTGGCTTAGTCGATACCATGGCAGCGGGTATGTTGCTGTGTTTGACCCTCGGCGTTTTCTTCCCGCATAGCCGGAAGGATGGCCGGAGGTGCTGGGATGCATGGATGCATGTGGGTGCCGGCATGTCACCAAGCAGGCGTGGCTGCACATAAGGGTCCGGATGTGAGCGAGTGACTCCTCCTCCACGGGGCAATGCACGCCGCCGGGTGACACATGCCAAAAGATCGCCATGCGCCGGGCAGGTCTCCGGAGATGGAATGTCGCCCTGCGGACCGGGGCTCTGGCTTAGTCGATACCATGGCAGCGGGTATGTTGCTGTGTTTGAGCCTCGGAGTTTTCCTCCTGTATAGCCGGAAGGATCGCCGGAGATGCTGGGATGCATGACTGTGCGGATGGGGGTGGAATTCCGGCCGGTGTCTTTCGCGTCAGGAAATGCCCCTGGCTCGTGTTGGCCCCTCGCGGGGTGGCACTTCCCCACCGAGCTGCACGCGCGCCCTGGGAGCGCGCCATCGATGGCCCGGGGTGCCCCATGCAGATGGGGTAGGGCGCACCGGGTGGACATCGGCCGAAGGCCCTGCTCGGATTCCCCTGTCGATCCCCGGGAGGCCCTTGGCTTCCAGTGGACGGGCGGTCAACGCGCGAGAGTGGCCAGCAGCAGGCTGTGGCGGGGAAAAACCGGCACGCAGGGGGGGGGTCTGGCCGCCTCGACCTGGCCAGTACCCCTGCGGGTTCCGAGGTCGGTGTCCTCTTGCGTCGAGAGCGTGCCTACTTCCCCGCTGGGAGGGGCCACGGGAGGGCAGCAAAGCAAGCTCGGGTGCATGCTTGGATTGCTATGGGCGTCTCGATGCGAAGCGAAGCGAGCCGAGCAATGACACAGGCCACTTTGCCGGTCGAAGCGCCGTGGAGGTGCTTGCGAGTCCTGCAGGGGCACGACTGACAAAAAGACGGCGATCGTGCTGGGCCCATGGGTAGCCCGGAAGATCACCGCCAAAGGTTCCTCTGAATGGGCGGAATGCATCCGGGTGGCGGGATGGCGCGTTGGAGGAGGCCACACGCAAGGCCACAGAGGCGAGTGGGGGAAGG